GTCAAACGTGGCCAAATGGGCCGTCAGTTCAGTCTGCAATTGCAGGAAGCGGGTATTAAATTCCCGCACCATCTGCTCCAGCAATTCCTCCCGGAGCTTGCGTGCAATGCCCGCCGTCAGCCGGGTAATGTCCAGGCTGGGAGGGGACATCGGCAGTGGAGGCGAGGAAGCGAGTGGCGGAAGGGGAGTCCTCTCGCGCGCCGCGGAGGCCTGTCGAGGCAGCAAGGAGGCCTCCTCCGGCGTGCAGGTGGCGGTCGGGTCCGCTGGGGAATGCGTCGATCCGGGAGCATCCGCCCCCATCACCCTGATCCACCTTCTCCCCTCCCGAAATACCGAAATACGCGTCGCGTGGCCTGTTGGTGGCGGCTAACCACTTGCTGCCCCGCCTTCGCATGGGCAGCGACACGAAGGTGAAGGGCCTCCAGCGTGCTCGGGGGAGGTTGCCGGCCGTTGGTACGACGTGTTGGCGCCGGGGGCTGGGGGGGGGGGGACGGGTGCGGGCGGCGTCGAGCCACGGCGTCTTCGACACAGGCAGCCGCCGCCCTGCTGCCGGGGGTGAGGCGTAGCCGAGCGCAGCAGCCCCCGCTGTGTCCCGCGGGTGTCCCGCACGTACTTCCAAGGTCCGTCCTTCGTCAAGGTGGCCGTCCGAGGCAAAGCTGCCCGAGCTTGTTGCCGCGACCGGCGAGCCTCCAGGTCGAGCGCCAGGAGCCGCCCCTCCGCCTCCTGCATCTGGCGAGCGAGGCGGGCTTGCTCCCGCCGCATCTCGTTCATCCACTGAACGAGTTGCTCCCTCGGACTCCGTCGAGGAGGGCCCGGGTTGACCTCCACACAACCCCGCCGGAGCAGGGCGAGAATGAGTGCGCGGCTCAAAACGCGGCACGAGAAGGAGGAAGCGAGCAGCGACACGACGTACGACTCCATCGCCTCCTGCGCCCCGACACCTCGCGCACCAGGCGCTGGAAGGGCGCCTTCTGCAGGAGGAGGTCAGTGGAGCGCTGGAACTGGCGGATCCCGCGCAGCGCCGCTGGCGCCCGGGCACCGTGGCGCTGTGCGTGTTTCACGCCCGTCGCCGCGCCAGGGGCCTTGGGGGCCTTCTTGCTCTTCTTGGACGTGATGGTCCTCTTGCTGCGAGCGGTTTCCTTCGCACGACTCATTATCTTCCTTTTTTCACGTGCTTCAGCGCAGGTTGCTGTTTTCCACGTCGCAAAACAAGTGAGAAACCTGCAGGGAGAGCGAAATGGGGCGCTGCGAGCGAGCCGCAGCCCGGACACGCACGCGTCGGTGCCTGGCCACGCACACACAGGCGCACAGACGCTGCCAGGTATTATCACTTTGAGTGTTGTGTACGTAGAGTGATGGAAGAATAAACTGTAAATGTGGTTTGGTTGATGTGCTTATTTGCATTTTGCTCCTTATCGTATCCGAGAGACTGTGTTGTTCCTGTAAACTAGACTCATGTGACATGCGATGATGATAACATGGCGTTTTTGTCTCTGTTGTGTTTATATCTGCTGCACCACTTTGGTGTTGCTGGCGTAGGTGCCTGTGGATGCGTGCGTGAAGGCGTCATCCTTCGTGCATTGTGCGAGGGCCTAGAGGGTGAGGGAGGGTAGGGATGTGGGTGAAACGGGGATGGAGAGGGATCGTTGACCTCTTGCCTTCCACGCTCTAGCCGCGTTGTTGCAAGGAGTGCTGGAAGAAGACAGCCAACTTCCAAACAAAAGACCATGGAAAAACAGGAAACCTCAGCCACACACAGAGGGAGGTGAAAGGGGGCAAAATGTAAAGGAACGAAGGGAGGGAAAGAAACAACGTGGGGGTGCCAAGCCAGGCGGACTGGCAACTGCGGAGGCACGACGCATTTTATGTCCTCTCTCTTCTCCTCCCCCTCCTCCTCGGGCCTTCTCTATGAGTTTGGGGCATAACGGGCGAGGAACTCCGCCTCCTCCAACGGTTGCGGTTCCGGCCATTTATGCGCTTCGCAGAAGCGCGTACATTCCCGCAGGTGGTGCTCGAATGATGCGAGGGCAGCAACGCCAGGTCGTGCGGTCTTTTTGGTTTCAGTTACTGCTGTGCTCACCATCCAGGTAACAAACATGGGGTCCTCCGCAGACCTTTGGCCGAGCTTCGCGAGTGGTAGTGGCGGGGTTTTGTCACCGGGCAGCAGCAACAGCGTCAGGCCCTGTTGCGGGGCGCAGTACATAATCCGTCCCACAGCGGACCACGGGACCCGATATTCAACACCATTATGCTGGTTGGCACGCTTTGCCTCCATTCCACCGCCGGCACTGGCGACAGCATCATCCATCGCCCAGCTCCAATGGGTTTCTGTGAAGGTGAGTGTGTATGGTTGCTTCATTTATTTGATGTCGCCTTGTACGCCTTCACCACGCGAGCGTCTACGGTTTGTCGCCGCGTGGTTGGCCTGCGGCTGAAGGAATGCGCGCATACCGCAGCGCACCGCACGGAGGGCGACGGTGGGGGAGTTGCATCCTCCAGACTTTCTTCCCGTGCAAATATTGCTGCGGCGACGGTGCCGCTGCGCTGCGTGGATGCCTTCCCCCCATCCTGGGCGCCCGCCGTGTCATTGGTTTGACTATTATTGTTGTTGGCGTCGTGGCGCGGAATGGCCACACGAGCGGCAGGCGTCCGTGGTGTGTGGTCGAGTTCCTCCCCCCGCTGCCGCCTTGACGGCGCCTCTTTCCATCGCTTTAGCACCGTCGGCGGCGGGGTCGCCGTTGTAGTGGGCCCGCGGCTCGCCGACGGCGGTGAGGTCATGCGCTGCAGCAGCTCCAGGGCAATCCGCTTCTCCTCCGCCTCCACGAAGTCGGCGTGGAGCACCACCGACGGGGTCGACACGCAGTCGACGGGGGCTGCGTCCGCATTGAGGACCACGCGCCACGTGACGATCTCCGGCGCATGCGCCACCGCGTCTGCCGGCAACGCGGCGCCCGGCTCGACGTCACGCATCCCGCCGAGGACGAGAGTATCGCCGTGATGCAGCGGCGTGAGGGCATTCACTTCCACGCGGTCACCGTTGACGAAGGTGCCGTTGCTGCTGCCCACGTCAACCAGGCACAGCTCCCACTGCGGCGCACCACGACCGCGTTTGCAGCCAGCCACCGGCTTCTTCTTGCGCCCTGACGCACGTTTTTCCTTTCCTTTCTCTCGCTTTCCCCCATCCTCCCCCTCGCCCTCGCCAGTCAATGCAGCTGCGACAGGACGCGCAATCAACTGGCAGTGTCTTTGCGAGGCAAACAGCAGGTGCGCGCTGAGAACGATGTCATTTTCTGCCGCCCGTCCAACCATGACAGGCGTGCTGTCCGTTGGTACCCGCAGAGGTATGCGGCGGGGCAGGGTTTCGGGCCCCTTCGAGAGCACCAACTCGGCGCATAAGTAATCCAGCATGACGAAATCAATACGTTAGGTGCTAATGCGCAAACGAGCAAGACGTACATATGCGCGTGGGCCAATGGAGCGCGAAGGAGAAAGCAACCAAAGCAAGATGAGAGAAAAAGATTGGGAAAGACAGGTGCAAATAGAGAGAAAGAGAGGAAGAAAAATGGGCAATCAATTATTGTTAAAACAGCAGAGAAGGAATCAGTTGCAACCCGGCGGCGTTTTGGAGAAGATGGGAACGACGACGGTCGCAAAGCGGCCTACCAGTGGACAGGCGCAGCAAAATGATGAGGGGACGGAGCGTTGCCGGGCAGCTCAGTCCTTGTTAGGTGTATGTGAATATATATGTGCATAATCTACATTACACCTGCTACTTCTAATTACATGTTCATTGAGGTGGCGCCACCTGCGTGCTGCATTGGCGCGTACTTTGTGAAGCAGTGGCTTAGTGCGTATTTGCCGTTGTACTTCACCTTTTCACAGTCCTTGCCGTACTGCATTGACGTCGTCTCGTACAGCGGGTGCTTTCCCGCGTCGCAGTGCCCTGTCGCTCTGCCACGCTTTCTCTCCGCAAGGGACGCGGTGGGTTCCTCGTCGAGTCGCGGTCGCGGTCGGTCGAGCGAGAAGCTCCGGATGCAGCGCAGCTCAAAGTCCTCGTCCTGCGGGGTGGTGTGGGAGATGCCGACGTAATACGCGGCCAGTTCGTCCGTCGTGACGCCGCCCTCCGCCTGTGCCTCCTCGAAGGCGGCGAGAAACTCGTCGACGAGTTCGCTCGCGTCTCGCCGCGTCAGCGCCAGCGGGTGGCGCATGACGTCGTACACCTCCCGCAGCGTCTCGAAGCTGACGAACCCGGTCGACTCCGGGTCGACTTTGCGCAGCACGAGACCGACGGCGTACGCGCGGCGCGGCGGCAACGTCGCCAGCAAGGCGCGCACAAATGCGGCGACGTCAAAACTGGCGCCATCGTTTCTAGCGAACTGCGCGGCAATCTCCGCAAAGTCGTCGTCGTCAAGATAGAGGCGGATGCGGCGCAGCGCATCACGGACGCCGGCGACCGTGTAGTCCGCCGCATCCATCCGCCGCATGGCGCGTGCGACGAGCCATAGCTTTTTCCTCCCGAGGCGTTCTACCGCCTTCGCTACAAGTGCCTCCATCCAAGCCCTACGCAGTCAGCACTTGGACCTTTTTCTTTTCTTTTTGCAGTTGTTGTCGCAAAGACAAGCAACGGAAACAGAAAAAAAGAGCGAAGAAGGCGAGAAGAAGCGAAAATAGAGTGTACTGGGCGACGGCTGCGGCAGCCCGGCAGAAGTGAACGCAGCAAAGCTATTATTATTTTTTTGGGGGCTGGGTGGGGTTGGCTGTAGGTGTTGTTGGGGTTCATGTTTGCTTAAGTGCGTCGCACCCTCCTCTTAGCAGCAGCGGACCACACGGATGCGCGTATTTTCCCGCCGCTTTTGTTTGTGTTTTATTCTTCTTCTAAAAGCTTTGCCCTTTTCGCAGCGTCACTGCGGGTGGGCGCTAGTCGCCCTTGCGGCCGGTGTCGTGGGTTGGCGGACGCAGCAGCCGCTGCAGCAGCAGCAGTGCCGCGGTGAACAAGACGCTGCCCGCCAGCGTGGACCCAAGCGCCACACCTGCCGCCGTCATCGCGACGCGCAGAAGCAGGACCGAGGCCCACGCGTTATGAGTTGCACTGCCGCCACCAGCGTTATTGCCCCGGCCGTTTATGCATCGCGCCGCGAGGAGCCGCGCGTTGAGGCCGACGAAGGCCTCAGCCGCCGACACAAGGTTCTCTGCGTCGAAGCCAAGTCCGCCTATAGCGCGATACCAGCGGAAGCAGCGGTAGAGCACGAGATCCACCGTTGTCCAGAGCGCAGCCACTACCGCCGCCGCATCATCGCCGGCGTCATGGGCGCGCAGCACCTTCCGCGCCTTTGCGTCGGTTAACACAAAGTTCATCAAGAGCGTGTCGACAGCGGGTATCACCACCACCGTGACAAGGTGCTGCGGCAGCGACATCCCGGCCAGAGACGCCAGCAGCGTCGACTCGGCTATCATACACGACGCGATGAGCGCCGCGAGTGCAATGAGGCGCCCGAATTCGACGTGGTGCCCTTTCGCGAGCAGAACCACGGGCATCAGCATCAGCGCGAAGATGCTCGCGTTGGAGAGGAGCCCCATCACGTCAGTGGATGCGCTTTTGAGCTTGCTTGATTGCTGCGCAGCCTACAGATGCCTACTAGAGCGGCGACTGTACGATGTGTACACACACACACACATATATATATATATATATACCCGCACATGGAGGGAGGGAGAGAGAGAGGTAAAGGGGTAAATGCAGTATTGAGTGAAGCAAGCAACGGAGCAAACGAAGTGACGTTCACCGACCGTGTCGCCCGCTCTCAGCATTTCTACTCACGGCTGCTGTTACTGCTGTCCCTCCGGCGGCGGCGGCCAGCGGCGGCCAGCGACGCAAAAAAGGGGACCCAAAGTTCCCCCACAAGAGAGAGCAGGGCGGTGCGGCTATGGGGAGCAGGTGCGCGGAAACCTGCGTGGGGCTACGCGAGGGCGCTTGTCCCGAACGAGATGTTGGCGGCAAGTTGGCGCACCACCTGCCGCACGGCACTGAGCGAGTAATCCATGGAGGACGCAAGGAACAAAAAGGCACAGCCCTCGCAGCACACCACCACCCCCACGCGCATCGACGCCACCTCCTCACGGGAGTCGCGGGAGGGCGAGCGCAGCAGCAGCGGCGGCGGGTCAACTGAGCACGACGGCGCCAACGCGGGGGCCACGTCAGCGCCGTCCGATGCGGCGGTGGGCGGCGCCAAACTCCCCGCCGCCCCGCCCCCTACCGCAGGGTAGGCTGCGGTGCTCCAGTAGCGGGCGAAGGGGTTGATGTTCCCCACCTCCTCGTCCAGCGCGAGCAAACCCGCGTCGCTGTCGTCGGCGTCAACCATCTGCTCATAGTGAATCTCCAGCGCGGCGCGCGACCCGAGCATCGTCGTCTCCATGTGGTGCACACACACACGATCTGGCAGCTGCAGCAAGTAGTTCCGCACGACCTTCTCCAGGCGCGTCTTCGCCCGGCACTGCGACTGCAGTAGCACGAGTGGGGCGGAGGGACACGGGAACACGCGCAACAGCACCCGGACGTGCTCAAGACCGCTGACGTGGATCAGAGCCAGGGGGTCGCCAATGAGGGGCTCTTCCACCAGCACCGAAGCGGCCTCCGCCGCGCTCGCGGGGTCAAGAAGAATGTTGAACGGCAGCACCTCATGCCGTGTATTGCAGTAAATGAGGGAGGTGCTCTGGCCAAAGTGGTTGCCAACCGAAACGGTGTCCAGCGTGCGGCGGCAGAAGGTGATGAATTCCTCCAAGGTGTGCCGCTTTGCGGAGGAGAGAAAGCTGATCGACACACACGCGTCGCGGATGCGCAGGCAAAAGACACTCAGATACGCCGATATGACGGCGGTGGGCGCCTTCCTTCTCTGCGCTTTCTCTCGTTGTGACCCTCCACCTGCCTCGTTTGCCGTTGCCTCCTCGTACCCCTCCTCAGACTGCAGCTGCAGCAAATCACGCAGGAGCGCAAATGACGCCCCTTTCGGGTCAAGCGTGATTTCCTGCACACAAAAGGCGCCGTCAAGCAGAAGCGTGTCGCCGGCGTCATCGTCCACCGCAGAGTCGCCGTTGGTGGGCACAAGGAGCTGCTGCGGGCGCACAATGATGGTGCCGCGCTTGTCCTTCCTCTCCTGCGACAACTCTTGCCCTTTAGCACACCAAACGACGGCAATGGGCGGCGTCACTTTCCTTTGCTCCTCTTCAGCCTCTTCACCGCTGCCGCTGCCGACTCGTTGAGTCGCCGAAAAGCGCGTCAGTGTCGTGTGCAGCACACGCTCGAAAAGCGGCTGCCACGAGACGTGGCCACGTGCAAGCGGCTCATAGGACGCCACCACCATCATCCGCCGCGGCCCACACCCCGCGAGTGCAGCGAAGGGTGTACTGCACTCACTACCGCCACCCGTGTTCTTTCCACCACCGCCAGGGCAAAGTCGCAGGTTCCGCACGCTTGACGACAACTCCATCGATGAGGACCTGGCACCGCCATGATGGCCCCCAGCGCCACCGTTGTGGCTGCTATATCCACCTTCAACACTTCCGTTTTTCACGGAAGGCTCATCAAATGCCGCAAGAGCCTCGCGGAGCTGGTCATTCATGGCAAAATCAAGCGGTAGTCGAAATCCCAGTCCAAGGCGCGGCTCAGCACACAACAAGTACGATGAAGTTGGCCGCGGTGGCTGGAGCTGAATCGAGCGCACAAGTTCATTGAAGGCCGTCGGTAGTACCCCCTTGACGCGTGTGTCAGCGACGTACTGCGCTGTGACTGCCAAATGTCCATGCGTAATAAACACGGACAGGGCATAACGCAGATTGTTGCCCGCATCCATGTAGCAGTACTCTGCGCAGGGGTGTGAGGTGGCACCAATACGAGTAGTGCTACATGACAAAAGCTTGACACAGTCGCGTATGCGAGCGAGACTACCGTCGCGGTACTCCTTTGCGGTAACTGCAGTGGCGCATGACTCAATAATGACAGCGACGCGGTGCTCTGGCTGTCGTAGGTACCGCAGAGCAACGAGCAGCAGCGGTGCTTGCCGCTCCTCCGTCTCCACTGCAAAGAGGATTGGCGAGAAGAGCATGCGCACCCCTATAACATCGTCCCGCCACTCAAGAAGGCTGGCGTTAAATTGGCCCACGTGCCTCTCGGCCCGCACCGCGTAGTATGACTTATGGTCACTTGTCGCTTCTGCTTCTGCTTCTTCTCCTCCTCTGCCCGCAGCCCCCGTGTGCCTGCTTGCACCGCCACCACCCCCAGCCGCAATTGCGCCCCCACTGTTGCTATTAATATTTCCATATGTGCCGTGACGCTCTTCAGTAGACCGCCTCCCAAGCAACGAGACGTGGCTTGGCACATGGGGCTCGCCTGTGCGTCGCTTGTTTGCTATGTACGTGACCGCGGAGAGCACGACGGCAAGGCCGGCGAGGACAGCCGTGATGCCGACATTGCCCGCTGAAACCACCGGGCCACCCCCACCAGTACTACTACTTCCCATCCAACACGCAGACTACGGCTTCTCAAGGAAGGGGCGAAGCACGAGGAGGAGACATTGTTGTGTGCGTGTGCGTGTGCGTGTGCGTGGGGGGCAACAAGTAACACAACGCATGACACCGCCATCCTTTCTCTCACACGCATACACAAGCAGAGGCACAAACACTAGAATAGGAAATCGTGTTGTGTAAAACTAATTCACTCGTCTTTTTTCTTTTGCTTTGCTTTCCTTCATTTTTGTTTTATTTTTGTTTTTAACTCGTTTTTTTTTCCTTTTGCATTGCTGTTGCTTTTGCCATGCCTACTTCCAACGCCTCTAATCCAGTGTGGGGTGGAAGCCACCGTTCGGGTGCTGCACCCTCTACACACCCCGCCCACCAGCCTGCGGGTCGCCCGTTGCATTAGCAACTTAATCATCCTCCTCAACTATCGTGTCGTCAGCGCCGTCGCCGGTCTGCAAGAATGCGGGGTCGTACCGCGCGAGTTGTGCCCGCAGCATCCTAATTTGCTCGTTCTTATGCGCCAGGATCTTCTTCACCTCCTGGTACTGCGTAGACTGATTGAGTCGTGTGTTCAACTCCCGTCTCGCCGCCGCCAACGCCGTGCGTAGCTCCTCCACGGACTGATGGACACCCTCTTCCTGCTCCCTCTGGCGCGCCGCCGCTGCGTCGCGCGACTGGAGTGCGTCGTGCATCGACAGCAACTTCTCCGTGTCGACAGACCGCGTGTTCATCACCTGGGCGTACGCGTCCGTGAGGCGGTGCACCTTCTCCTGCAGGCGGCGGATCTCCTCCTTGCCCTCCGCGAGCTGCCGGCTGGCCTCACCGTCGGCGTCGGCGACAGTCAGCGGCGCAAGACGACCACGTGGTCCACTCAGGAGCTGCCGCTCATGGTCCAGCAGCAGGCCAGTGGAAGCCGCTCCCGTCGTTGCGGTGGCGGTGGCCGCAGGAGCCGCGTTTGCAGAAGCGCTCAGCACTGCGTTGACGTCCACTTCGATTGTCACGCGTTGACGATCAGCGTCCCGGAGGACCGCGCACAGCAGCTCCGCGGAGGTGCCCGCGAACTTCTCCACGCGGGCCTCCAGCGAGTGGAGCAGCACCGCGGTGTGTCCACGAAGGATTTCCTTGAGCTCTTCCCTCGTGTACGTCTCCTGCAGCACATTTCCCACCTGGTGGTTGGCGGCATCCAGGTGGACGCCGCGCTTCAGACCGTCACATGCCAGGCGAGCCCACTGCAGATATCGGTCGAGGACACTGCGCGACTCCGCGGAGAGTCCAAACAAGGCATCGCCCATTTTGCTAAAAAGTAAGTATGCCCCACGCTTTTTCCCCTTCCTACAACTCTTTCTCCTTCTATCCCCGCCTTCTCTCCGTGGCTGGGCATGCATCAGGTAGACAAAGCGAGGGATGGGGAGGTAAGAAATAAATTTACCGCACAGACACATGTAACGACATGTATGCATGCATATCTGTGTATTTACATACATATGCATGCATTTCGAGAATTCTATTTTGTAGACCCCTGGCCCCGCCCCTCCAGAAGAGGGATCAGCCGACATATTTCAAAAGCACACATGCACACTTACAAATACATATACATATATGTTTACAGACAGGCACGTAAACACGAACTCTCAATGAGCGAGGACGGGAGATGAGAACACAACCCACGCGTGAGTGTCAGAAAGCGTGAGGTGGTACGAGGCAACGCGCGTGGCGCCAGAGTGGGAAAAAGAGTGAGTAAATAAAAACAAAAGCAAAAAAAGGGCAAAACATCAAACAAGCGGACAACCCTCCTCGCCCCTCGTTCCACTCAAGTGACATGAAAAAAAAAAGCGACGCACGGGCGCCCCTACACCCGTCGCCTAGCGGCTCTCCCTTCGCGTGTCTGTATGCATGTATGTATGTATATATATATATATATGCGCATATGTATGTGCATGTATGCGCGGGGGACTTACAGCAGCATACATCATTCACTTTACTTTTCCTTCTTTCCTCCCCCCATTCTCGTTTAGTTATTTTTTTGTTTTTTCTCCCTTTACCTTTTCTTCTGAGAAGAAGAAGAAAAAACATATTTTCAAACAAAACAGCAACAAAAACTCCAACCCCCACTCCCCGAAAAAGAAAAAGAAAACATTTTGTCCTTCTCACCATTCCTCCCCTCACAGCTTGTGCCCTCTCCCCCTTTCCCCTTTCACAGAGGCAGACAGGCAGGCAGGCAGGCGGGCGGGAAGACCGCGGGAAAAACTAATCCAAAGGTAGACGAATCCACGTCTGTTTCTTTTTTTTTGCTTTGTTTTTGTTTTTATTTCGCATCTCATAGTCCTCTCATACATCCCCGGTTTTCATCGCGTCTTGGAGACCCAAACAATTGTTATTATTATTATTATTTTTCTTCCGCTGCACACGCAAATTCCCCCAGGGCTTTTGTTTCGCACGGCCACGCCCTTCACTTCCCCCGCCTCCCCCCACAGAGCGAGACGAGGGCAGCGGCGCCGGTGAGCCATGTTAGCCACCTATACACGCATACATGCGTGTTTTCCTTATTTATCCCCATAGTTTTCCCACCGTTAGCGTTTCTTTTTTCTTTTCGCTCATTTAAGTTTGCTTTTCAAAACGACAGAGATACAACGTGAATGCGCACACGCATACGCGAGTATGAATACATACAGAAGCATTACAAAAAAAGGGTGGCACACATGCAAGCGAAGAGACGTATGGAGCTTGAATGCACTACACATAGACAAAGGTATATCTACAACTATGTCTCTCAGCATGCATGTATACAGCCTTGTGGTTCACTTATAAAAATAACTTGGCTTTATCAGGAGTAGCGGAAGTCTTCCACCCTCCCCTTTTTTTTGTTTTTGCTTCCTGTTCGCCTCTTTCTTTTTATTATTATTTTTTTTTTGTTAGAAGAGGGCGGTGGTGGTGGTGGTAGAAAGGGAAGGGAATGGGGCACCTCCTGCCTCTCGCCCAACTCCCTTTCTCCCACCACTATCGCACACCTCCGCAGACTTCTTCCTTTCGTACGGCGCGCTGGTCATACGCTCCTCGTTTTACTCACGCGCGGGTGTCTTGCCGAGCTCCTCAGAGAGGCGCAACTTCAGCAACTGCCGGAAGAGCGGCACGGCCTCACCGCGGCGAATGGTGAACTCGCCGCTCGCAATTCCGCGTGGAATAGTGAACGTCATCTTTGGCCTCTGGTCACCACCCTGCTTTTCAGGACTGCCGCCAGCGCGTGGGTTCGTGCGAGGACGGGCGCCGACAGCGGCACCATTGCCATTCTCACTCTGAACGCACGTCACAGTGCGGGCCTCCGTCTGCGGCGGGGCGATGGCAGCAGCAGCAGCAGCAGCTCTGGTGTTGTCGCCGCTCCTCTTCTGGTTGTCGTTGTTGTCGTTGCTGTTGTTGTTGTTACATGCAGCACCGGAAGAGTTGGCGGTGGCACCGGAGAACTGGGGCTTCGCCGTGGCAGGGGACGGGCGGAAGCCCTTTTGCTCCTCCGCGAGGGTCGGTGGCGTCAGTGGTGCGGCGACGCTGTGCTCCGGCGAGGCCTTGAGCTTCCCGACGAGGTCCGCCAAACGTATGCCGCCTGCGCCGCCAGACATCGTGACTGCGGCGGGCGTTGAGGCCATCCCAGTCGCTGTTGGGGACGTCGTCGCGTCTTCCACCGCGCTGCGTGGTTTTGGAATGGCCACCCCACCATCCGCCGCCGGCGCTGCGCCCTTCTGCTGTTGCTGGGACTTCTGAACAAGGGCCCTGAGAATGGAGACGGTGTTGCGCTCCGCCTCTGCCGCGGCGCCGCCGCCGCCGCCGTCGTCGCCGGGCCGGTTGAGCACTAGCAGCGAGGACAACCTTGACAGCGCGCCGCGTGGCTGCCCGAGTCTGCCCTCAAAGTGGCTTCCGCCAGTGAAGGGTTCATCGTAAACCACCTCTGCATCGGCACTTGTGGAAAGCAGCCGAACAATTGTGCCCACCGCACCAAATGGGACACAACCGACAGCGCGGCAGTTGACGACGCGGACGCCGAGGCGGAATGTCTGTTCCTGCGGAAGTGGCAGCTGGGTAAGGTGGCCGCCGCTGCTGCGCGTGAGGGGGAAGTACAAGTGGCGTTTCACCACGGGGTTCAGTATAATCTCTTTTGTGGCGCGTGGCTGCTGCCGGTCGAGTTCATCCTCCAACTCCTGCAGGTACTCACGAGGAAAGGCATCATCGCTGGACGGGAGAAGCGGCACGTCACGGATGCCAGACGCCTCAATGAAGGCCTCCATCTCGCGAAGTACATCATCCACCTCCATCTCCTGCCAGCCGCCGGTCATAAACTGCGGCGGTTCCAGCGCCTGTGGGGCGATGGTGCCGCTCTCAAGCCGCTTCACAAGGGGCAGGAAGGCCTGCACGTATCGACGAATAAGTGCAACTGCTTCACGCGAGAACCAAGTTGTGTATTGCGGCGTGCGGCCTGAGCGGCCAAGGAAGTCGCGCTTGCCGGTGTTGTCCAGGTAGTGGGCGGAAGGCTCTGCATTTTGCGCAAGCCGCACAAACACGTCTTCATTGTACGGTGCCCACGCATTCGTCTGGCGCCGGACAAGCTTCGCGTAGCCAATGCGGACAAGATGATTGCGTGAGAACACTATGCCTAGTCCCACCTCACGTGAGCCGTACTGCGGTGTGGTGCGCAGTGAGCCAGTCAGCAAACGCAGGGCGAGGGACCCGACAGACAGTTCACTTGCCACCTCGTGTAGCGCCATCCAGTTGCATGGGGCGGCAAATGATAACAGCGAGGGGGGGAGCGCCAGAGGTTCTTGGTACACCCGCACTGCCACGGCGTACATGTCACTACTGGCCGAGGTGGGCTCAAATACAAAACCGGCACTGCCATACACCTGCATCGGGGACTTCTTGTTCTTCGGTTCGGGGCCAACAAAGACAACTCTGGTGCCGAGGCTTATGTCCCCCTCCACCCGGTCACGCTCCACATAGCGGGAGTCCTCTATCATGTCTACATCCTGCAGGCGCGCCACAAGTTGCATGGTGTAGCAAACTTCATCTTTGGAGAAACTTCGCACAATACGCCCCTTGCGCGTCAGACGCATGGTGGTGAAAAGGTTAACGTACACGAGCAGGTAAATCCTGTCCACGGCGATGCCAAGTTTTTCCTTCATATACTGCGTATGTGTGTCACACTCCTTTGTGAAGTTCAGGGACTCATCCCGGTTCAGCTCCTTCGTCTCCGTGCCACAGAAGGTACCATCCTGCGTGATGACGGCACGGACGCTTGTGCGCTTGTCACTAATGGACGCGACACGGGCACGACGGAAGTGTGGAAAACCAACCAGCACCTCCTGCCCGACCAGCGGCAGGGCCTCCGTGACGGTTATAGCGTTCATCGAATCCTTTAGCGCGAGGATGATGCTTTCCTTCCGTGTGGGCATGCCAAAGATTGTCACCACCCCCGTCTCGCGCTGCAGCGTGATGAAGTCCCACTTGGTGTGCAACGACGAGAACCCCTCCAGCTGCTTTTCACCGATTGCAACCCCCGGGCAGAGCCGCGGCACAAACGTCGTCATCGGTGGAAACTCAAACGCCTGCTGCCGCACCCGAACGTTTCGTAGCGGCCCAAACATCTCGTTGGGCACATCACGCGGGGACATGTTGGGATCGAAGGAAAACAGCGTGGCCGGACCTACGCAGTTGCGGGCTGCATCCTCAGGACTGACTTTGTTCTGCACAGACTGGTACGCCGCAAGCAAGACGCGTTCGTCGATAAATGGAATTAGGACAATGCCCTCCCACGGCGCCCGCGCGCCCTCACGATCAATTTGCAGAATTTCCGGAAAGAATTTTTTGAGCGGACTCTTGTCGCTAAGCATAAGTGGCCAGTAGGCACGTGGCATAGAACGGTATGACATGGGCGGCAGTACCGCGAGTAGCTGCTGATGGGGGAGAAATGGTGTACCTGGATCAAACTCTACCTTCTCTGCAATGGCGGGAAGGTTTACCAAGTCACTTGCCATGGGAGCATAGTGGTGTGGGAAGAACCATTTCCACGACGGCGGCCCTTGGTAGTAGTATCCCATCACCCACAGCAGGCCCTCAACGTAGTGCAACTTCAACTCCGTCATGTCTTTTCCATGCGGGTCCCATCCCTTCTCAAATCCATGTTTCTCACTGTAGAAGTGTTCCTTGTACTCTTCTATGGTGCCTACTGGCACAGTTGCGACGTTGGCTGCCTCGTGCGTGGAATCACGCCGCTGCGCTTTGCGCTGATACTCCTCCTCCTGTTGCTGGCGCTGCTTGATGGTGGAGAGCTCAAGCTCCCCAATTCCCTGCAGCCACAGCTCTACCGCACGCCAGTTGATTTTGCCCGCGTTCGTCAGGTACCTGCCCTCCCCAAGTATGCGTTGGCAATAAATGTCGAGCATCTGCAGCAATCCGCCATCGAAGATGGAGAGCGTCGGGATTGTCGGCAAAAAGTCGTTGCCGACGAAGAAGCACATCAAGACAAAATCATCCAAAAAACGTTCCAGGTCGTAGCCACCTGGCAGTTTCGCGCCAAGTCTGTTCCGCACATCCAGATCAAGGTAGTCACGCAGGACATTCACATGAAGTAGCACAAATTCATCGGCGTTGCGGTACGATTTGTCGGCAATGATTCCATTGGCCTCGTCCTCCTCGCGTTGCTCACGGACGCGGCGCGACTCCTGCCCGGGGCCAAACGTCACCACCTCCCGCAGGAGTACGAAGTGTGGCTCATGCGTTGCGAGCGCGAGCATGACAAGGTCGGCGTCAAGGCCGTACATGCAATGGGTTTCATTGGGGCTGTACCCCGGCTGCATCTTGCGGCGGCGTATGAAGTCCACAATCTTGTGCTCGCCCTCGCCCGGGTTGTCGTGGCCGGAGTACACAACCTGGCAGTTCTGCCACGCCGGATCCGAGGCGATCTTCATCGTTATGAAGTACTGGAATTGCTCACTCACCCGCACCATGAAGCCCGTTCCAGGGGTAATACAATTGCTGTCGAACACATCCTTCTCATCGGGCACATCGTCGCCGCGTGCGAGGGCCTCCTGTCGGGCCACCATGAGTTCGTAGCCGCTACGATAGCGACGCTGGCGCTGCTGGTTCATCTTCGCCCTCGGCGCCACGCCGTCAACAGCCAGGAAGAAGCACTTGCGCGGCTGAATCGCGTTAAATAGTTTCTCCAAGTAGGCAAACATTGCCTCCACCATCACCTTCTCCGTCGCCGACTTCTGCGTTGCGTCGACGTCGTTGGTGTGGCTGCAGTTGTGGATAATGCCGTTCATGTCAAGATACAAGTTGTCGACAGGCGGCGGGGAGTCGCGGAATGGGGTGATGACCGTCGGGCAGCGCTCCGCAACCCACCGAAAGAACTTTGGAACTCCCATGATTTCCTTCTGTGAGACACGCCCGCGCGATTGCCCAGGGCAAACTTCCTTCTCTCTTTCTCTCTCGCTTCCTTTCCTGTTGCGTGCTCTTCGCTGCTAGGGCGCCTCCGTAAACACACACACACACACACACACACGCACACGCACGTTAACCGTAGGTATATATATATATATATATATGTGTGGGTGTGTGGGTAGGTAGTTGGGTGGGTAACAGTAACAACACTTGCCTGCGCCAAATGTAGAGCCACCGAAAAAAAAAAGGTATGTGTGTGTGTGTGGGGGCAGGGAATAAATGCACACCAAGAAAGGGGAAAATCTAAACACAAAGAGCGAGAAAAAAGAAAGAAGAAGAGGAAGAAAAAAAAAGGGTGCCTATAATATATATACATACATTTTCGTTTCCTTCATTCTTACAAAAGTAAAAAAGAGGGTATCGTGCTCAAAGAAAGGCACGGTTGCCCCGAGAAGGCGTGGGCATACATATAAATGCGTAGAAACATCTGCGGAGGTCACTGGGACGAGGGAAGGGGGGCGGCGCCAGGGAACTTCCGCCCGAAGGAGCACCGCGGCGCCCCTCGCACAGGGCGTTCCCTCAGGACCACGTGTGCCAGGAGGGACTCCTGCTGCGGGAGAGGGGGCGCAGAGGCCCGGCCCACCCTCGCGGGGGAGGCGCAACAACAAAAAAAACACGGCAACACAAAATAACAGCATCAACGAGAGGCATCGGCCACATTCTCACCCTGTGGAAACGTTTGTTTTTTGTTTTTTTGTTTGTTTTTCTTCCTCTCTTTTTCCCTCCTTCTTTTGGAAGCGGGACGCCTCATCTACAGTGGCTGCGCACATGTTGCCCCTTGCACCCGCTCCCACGCATCGGCAGCCGCACGCCAACCCCATCCCTCCGTTTTGCAGCCCTCGCCCTATGTACATGCACACACGTGAAAAACAAACAAAACAAAAAAAAGTCAATGCACACACACAGAGAGAGAGAGAGCCAACAAAAGAAGAAGAAGAAAAAAGCAAATACATAGACGGATACAACACGTACACATACAGTGTCGTAAGAAACATGTACACTTGTGAGAGAGAGAATGAATTATGCATGTTTATATATATATATATAAACAAACTTCCCTACGCCACTTTGTTGCTGGGCTCATCCTCAAAACGAACGTTGCGCCTCACTTGCGACCGCATTGACTCGACGCCGTCGGACGCCATGGCATCATTGGGTGCCTCATTACTGCTGCTGGAGGCCATCTGTTGGGGCTCGGCGGCGGTGGCGGTGGCGGTGGCGTCCCCCTCCTTGCCACCGGTGTGGTGGATGCAGGGGAACGTTGGCGCCTTGGCGTAGCGCCGCCCCACGATGCTGCTGTTTGCCTTTAACGTGCCAGTCTTGGTAAATTCCTTGTGAACTACTCTGTTGCGCTGGTTCACCACGTCGGTGGCGTGGGCATAATCCGCCGTGTAGTCCCCAACCTGATACACCTCGGCGCAGTGGCAGTGCCGGCTGTTCACGCCCCCGACAACCTCGTCGCGGAGGTAAGACCTCGGCCGGTAGTCGCAGCTTTCCTTCATAAAATCACTCTTCACACTCCGCACCCCCTGCGGGTGGTCGCCTGGGCGCAACAGGAAGGCGGTATGACTCATGGGCGTGAAATCATACCCCGCCTGCGACAGCACCGGCGGTGGACACTCCTTGTACAGTACCTGCGGCGCAAATGGGCGGGGTACTCTCTGAGTGCAGGTGTGGTGCCCGCGCTCATCGACGAGGGGCTTCAGCCGCGGCAACAGACGCGCGCGACTTGCCACGGATGCCTCAATGGTGGCGAGCTTGTAGACGCCGTTTGGGTCGTAGGAGCCGATGTACTTGAGCGACGCGGGGTCGTTTGGCTTGAGGCGTGCGTAGTTGTCAAAGGAGCCGCAGTAGAAGTGGATGCGGGCCTTCAGTAAACCCCACGACTTTTTGTTTGACTCCTCAATGGCGTCGAGGGCGTCACGGTACGTGGCGCCCCTCCTCAGCGTGTGTGTCGTCCATTTTGAGAGTGGGTGGTCGCGCGTGGAGGTGGTGTTGATTTCCTCTATGTTGTAGCCCTTCTTACGCAGTTCCTTCTTTGGCGGCAGCTGCAGGAGGGCGTAACTTATAGGCACACTCGCAGTCGGGTCCTGCATGTCCGTGGGGGCGTACATTTGGCTCCCAAGCCTCACACCGTGGAAGAAGAACACCTGAATGGAGGGAAGGACAAGAGGTGGTGGGGGAAGGCAGACGAAAGCCGGGAAAGGTTGGAGAGAGCAAAAAAAAAAGGAAAAGGAAAAGGTGACCGGCAAGAGAACACAATTGCGTGTATGCACACTACAGGTATGCCGTCACGCCGCAGTCCACCGCAACTCATCCCCGTCCACACCCCCGCGGACAATAACGGCGGACACAAAAGCAGCAGCGCGATCCGCGCAGGAGGCGAGGGAACTCGAAGAAGCAAAGCAGCATGTGAAGACGGCAACGCATGAGGGAACACGTTGAGTCTGCCGCCTCTTATTCACTTCATTCGGCCCACCATACAAACTGCGAAGAGCCCAATGAAGCAAAAAGGTCCGACAAGCTCGCGCTCGCGCTCACGCAGCGAGCGAGAGGACACACACAAAAGAAAAAGAAAGACACACACGCACACACACACATACACACCGATACCATGGTGTCAGCCGCATCACGGTTAGAAGAGGGCCTCAATGTCGAAGATGTTCACAGGGGCACCGCCAGTTACATTGCGATTCCCCATCGTCCTTGACGCAGCGACCTCGCTATCCCCTGAGGCTGCCACCCCCGCCGCCGTCACAGGCGCAGGCGTCACAGGCCCCGTAACACGTCTTCCCACACGTCGTCTTGTGGCCGCTGTTCTACTGTGCTGCTGGTGGTGGTGCGCCGTGGCGTCAAAGGCGTTAAAACGCAAGTTGCCCGACCGCCTTGTTGGCGCCTCCAGAGTCTCTGGGATGATGTCATCGGCGTCGATGGCTCGCGTTGTGGACAGCACTGCGTGGCCAGGCAGACGCGTTAGTTGCTCCATCTCGACCGTCTCGCTGCCCACGGCGAGTTTCTGCTTCAGAAATCGCTTCCCGCCGCTAGATGCCGCAGCCGTGCACCCAGCAGCAGGGCTGCTCCCCCCACTGCCGCCGTACGGCTGGAAACATGGATACGGCGGCAGCGGAGGCGGGCCCACTACGACGAGGTCCTTCGCGTCGGGATAGTCAGTGAGCTCGCGGGAGAGCCAACCGTCCACGCCGTCTCCGCCTTTGGCGTTTTCTTCTGCCTGCTGCTTACCACTGACGCCGGCCGCCCCCGCCCCGGTGTCGCCCGGTGCGTCTCGGAAAAGGGGAGTTGGGTCCGTGCGCCTCCCGCCGGGACTAGTGGAAGCCCGCGGTCGCTTCATCCCCGCGGTCGCCGCCCTTCGCCCCGCTTCCGTTGCCTCCTCACTTTTCGTCGACTTCTGCAGCCACGGGAGGGGGCCCGTCGGAAAGGGGGTCAGCGTGAGCGGGACCGCGTGGACGATGCTCTTGATGATGTCAAGGTACTCCACGCAGCAGAGCCCCAGTTGCTCCCGCAGGACATGCACAAAGTTCCGGAGCGGAAGGCGCTCGCGGCTGTTGTACAGCACAACATGACTACGGTGCTCGAAGTAAAAAGGACCTACAACCCCATCGCAGTGTTCGTCGCTGTTCAAGTGCGACAAGGTCTCATCCAGCACCACCCGCCCTTGGGCGCAGGGCAAAAAGTTTCGAACCTCCTCATGGAGCGATCGCTGCGTGGTAACAAAGGTGAGGTTGGCAAACAGCCGCTGACGATCCAGCCGATTGGGCGGGTACAACAGCCGCACCCCGTCTGGATCCTCGTTGATTGCTTCCACCTGCGCGGGCCCGCCGCCGCCGCCTTTCCCGCCATTCCACAGTGTCGACCAAAATTCGGCGAGTGGCGGCGCGTACGCCCGCGGGTCCGGCAGCGGCACGTGTGGTCTGCGGCGACTCCGCAGCGCCTCAAAGAAGGCCGGCGTCACAATATCCGCGGCGCGACACAACATGGCGATGCTAACAGGGGTCGGCGTGAGACGCGAGGTCACGAGGTAATCCGCGCGATGGAAGTCCGTCACGACGTGGGCACCGCAGCGGCGCAGGCAGCAGTCCAACTTCGTCCGTTGCTCCGCCGAGATGGCAAGAGCAAAAACACGCATTGGGGTCCACCGCAGCCGCAGAACCGCGCCGTGTGCGCCGAGGGTGATGGAGAGGTCCCGCCACAAGGGTTCTTCACATGGAACATGGAACGGCGCATCCTTACTTAGCCTCTGGCGCGAAGCCAGCTGCGGCGCCTCCGCCTCTGCCTCTTCTGCGCCACTGTGGCTACGACACAACTGCAGCTCCCTCGTGATCACATCATTCGCCTCATGCCTGATGCCGCCGCCGCTGTCGCAAGGCGCGGAGGGAGAGACCACAGTGCCATACTTGGACACATCCGTAAGCACAATATGCGCAGGCGTCTCTTTTGCCTCCTCCTCCTTTCCGTTCCCCTCCGGATGTCGTTCACCTGCCGCCGGTAACTCCCCAACTTCTATTCTGAGATGCGTGCGGCTTATGCTCGCGTCATCCTTGATGGTGATGTCGCAGTCCTTCTTGCCCACCGTGTAGGCCTCGCCGCCCAGTAGCCAATAGCAGACTTCGCCCTTGAAGTACACAATCCACATTGCATTCAACACCTCGAGTATTGCACTTCTGGCCGCCAACCCCCTGCTGTCTGCGCCCACACACACACACACACACACACACACACACGCAATCCTCTTTTTTTTTTTATGCTCGATTTTAATTTCGCTCTATGCGCGTCTGTCTGTTTGTTTGCGCGTACGTATGCGCGCGTGCGTAGGTGGGCGTGCCTTCTACGTTGTGTGCGCGTGTCCAGAAGAAGAGAGAGGGGTGAATAGCAGGCAAGTGAGGGAGAGAGAGAGAGAGAGCAGGAGACACACACACACACAAACAAACGGGACCAGCAATTAAAAGCGCAACGACGAGACGCGTTGTACCTCAAGGCAGAGGGCGGTGGGCGTAACATACATAAATACATATATATATATATATGTATGTGTGTGTGTGTGTGTTATTCGAGGTGCGGCCAAATAAAAAAAATGCCGGTGCAGGTGTGCGGCGATGCCGTCGTCGTGCCGCAGCTCCAGCCACCAAGCGGATTCGTCTCCCGTGGGCCTGCTGGTGACTCACCCAACACGCAGCGAAGAAGCGACGGACGCGTTTTGCGGCCGTTACTGCGACTTCTACGCCCTTCACCCGTGCTCAGTCGGCGATGCCGCAACATCCGCCTTTGCCCTTGCCATGCCGGCGTACAATACGATGACGACGAACACCGCGATGGCCACCGCAACTGCAACGTTGACGATGAACCAGCTGAACATCACGGGGTCCACAGGCCTCTTCGGGCACTTGTCGAGGCGCGACAGGCAGCGGCCGCCCTCCAAGCACACCTCGCTGCATTGTTCCTCGTGCGCTGCCGCTGACGCGTGCCGGGCCGCGCCGACGGCGAAGAAGCACGGCCGGTGCCCTTTGGCCGGACGGGTGCAGAAGGTGCCGCCGCTGCCTACGCACCGGGCGCACGTCGTCTCCTGCACGAAGCAATCGACAAGGTCAAGGCAGCTCGTCCCACAGGTGCAGTTGCCTGCTGCATGACACGACATGTCCTCCGGACACCACACTTTGGCTGGGTCCGCAGCGCAGTGAGCACATGGCGTGACGGCCACCCCGCCCGCCAGCGCCGTCGACGACAGCAAGAGAACAGCAAGGATGAGCACCATCATTGCTCGCGCCGCCGCCCCACCATTCACCACACACCCACCCCACCCTCTCGCCTTCCCTGCTTTAATTCCTTTCTTCAGCTCTTGGCGCTGCCGCTCGCGTCGCACGCAATGGGAGGCGAATCGGTTTCAGAAAGTAACACGTAGAGAAAGCAAAAGCTAGAGTGAGAAAGAGACAAAGGGCTGCAGTGGATTCACGGAACCCCGCACGTAATTCCCCCACCCCCACCACCCCCTCCCCAACGTCGGCGGAGTTTTGCTGACAACACGTACGACTGCGACTGCGACTGTGCAGCATTATAAGCGCATGGGAGAGTTCGCACTTTCACTTGTCCTCCGCGGAGCGTTTGTGGAGCGCGCCCATCACCGCCAGACGGTCCGCCATTTCATTCCCGCGGACACCAGCGTGCCCCTTCACATGAACCAACTGCAGCGCCAGCCGCCGTGCCAGCCGCCGCGCCAGCGCAGGCAGCAGACCAAACTCAGCCACCAGCAGGTCACTGTAGAGGCCCGCGTGCTTGGAGCGCACGCTGTTTAGCGTCTGCCACAGGTCGCAGTTCGCCACACTCGACCCACTGGAGCCCCAAAACCCGTTTCTTAGCCACTTTTGCATGTAAAAGTCAGCGCCGCGAATGGTGTACGCGCTATCAGAGAAGACGCGCAGGTTGTAGCACGACTCCGCCTCGACCGCGGTGCGGAGGACGTGGATGACGGCGTGCAGCTCCGCCCGGTTATTTGTCTGCGGCTCGGCGGCGGGAAGCGGGAGGGAGAAGTTCCGCGGGTCGTTCTCCCCATAGAAGCCGCCGTACCCGCCACACGCGAGCCTTCCCTTGCCGTTTGCGCGGCATGCCCCATCGACGTACACCTCCACCGCCTCCAGCTCCCGCGCCCGCACCCAGTCCCGGGAAACGCGCTGCAGCATCCCCCTCTCCCCCGCGATGTCCTCCACCAGCGACAGCGCCGACGACGACGAGGAGGCCGACGACGCAGGGGAATGACGCCGACGTTTCCCGCCGAGCGCGGGCGCCGCGTCACACGCAACATCTTCCGCGCCCTTCGCGGCGCCCCTGTTGCTCGCGGCGTCCTCCGCGGCAAGAAACGCCTGCGCCTCCTCCAGCGTCTTGAAGGACTTAAACCGGGCCCGCGGGAACCCCGTCACGTAGCGGCTGCACTCATCCCACGACTCACAAACGCCTGTCTTGTGGCCCGCCGCGACGGCGTAGTATTTTTTCTTCTTCTTCGACGACGACGACGACGACGGCATCGTTGTTGGGCGGGCGCCACCCCCAAAAAATTCTCTTCACAGCCGCGCGAAGGAAGCTCAAACGGGTAATTAACCGAAGGCGCACGCCTCCTATCCACCACACACAGAGGAGGTGCAGACGACAAGAGGAAATAACAGTAAAAAAGAAGGCATTCGAAAGAGCGGGAAGGCAGAGAGGAACCGCAAGGCAATCAAAACCTACAAAAACAAAAACAAAGGGATAAAGGAGGCACACATCCGCCACCCGGCCCAACGCATTGCCGTTGACCCCACACCCACACAGAGTGAGAGAAAGATAAAGACGCATGTATAGGTGCACATCCACTGAGAGGAGCAGCATCGTTGTGCCTGCAAACAAGTTGATCTTCCAACCGGTGTTCGTCGCCGCACAGCCCATCGACGTCGTTCAAACGCAAGCAACGCCCAGACCGAATCCATACAGCAGCAGACGCATATAAATAGGCGTATATGCGCCTGTACAGAAACGCAGCCGCAAAGAAAATCCTTTGCCACCCCTCAACTTCTCTCCTCTTCCCAGAGTCTACAATACTTCAGAGCTTGTGTTCCCGGTGGGCTCGCAGCTATGAAGTTCACCCTGGAGTCTCCTAAGAGTATCCAGCAGACGCTTCAGCTCCCCCCGGTCGCCTGGCACCTTCGCTGCTGCTGCCTCCCACAGTGAGGCTTCGCGCTCGCGAAGGCGAAGCTCTAGTTCTTCCAGGTTGCTCTCGCGCGACAGGAGTTCCTGAGCGGCAGCAAGTTTCTCCGCCACCGACGCCTGCTGCGCGTCCAATTGGCATTGCTGGCGCCGCAGCGAGGCCTCCCAACTGAGCAGGCACTCGCGCTGCAGCATCAGCTCAGCCGCGCGGTGAGAACAGCTCTCCTCCCGCTGCGCAACGGCGGATTCTTTTTCCTGCAGCACGCATGCACTGCTGTGGATGCGCTCCACCTGCTCCCGGGTGTCGTTCAAGAGACGCTCTTGCTCCTCCTCTAGTTCCCGCTCGCGTCGGTCGAGTTCCGCAGTACGTGCGTCGAGCAGTTCCTTCTCCTCCCGCTGCGCAGCGACTTGTTGGGCCACCTCCCGCTCCCGCTTTTCCAACGCGCTCTTCGCCTCATGCAGCCGCTGTCGGCACGCGTCGGTCGCCACCCGCTGCGCAAGCCTCTCCTCCCGCGCGAAGGCTTCCATCTCGCGCCGCACAAGTGACTCCTCTCGCTGCAGAAACTCTGCCTGCCACGTACGTACGGCTTGGGCCTCCATCGGCCACGCCGAGGAGGACGGCGGCGAGGAGTGCGGAGGCTGCCGCGGGGCAGTCATGGGGGGCGACGCCTCATGCCAGACATCCGCGACCTCAAAGAGAGTTTCCTGCTGGAACGACGGCGGGCCACCGCGTGAAGCGCCCTCGGTCGCCTCCGCCACCGCCCCCCGTGTGCGCGCACCGCCAGCGGAGGGCGGATGAGGGCTACTCTCCCCAGCGTGGGCGGCGAGCAGCTCCGCCGCGACCCGCCGCGTAGACACGGAAGAAGCAAGTGCGGACGGGTCGTCGCTGCCACCACGCGGTGAGGGGGTGAACATGGTTCCTGGGGTTCAACACGCACACACACGCAGAATATACAGTCGCGCTCCCTTCAAGTACGACGGCTCCACCCTCCTCTGTCTTCTCCCGCACGCTGCGAGAGATGCCGACAACACGTGCACCCGCGCGCAGTGGGCGGGCGGAGGAAAAGGGCTGCCTCACCGCCCACCGGAGGTGCGACACTTCAACCAAAAAAAAACACGCACACACACAAAAGGCGAAAAAAGGGGCGCCGTGCAGGTCAAAAACTGCAGTGGGGGAACCAGAACAATGCGGAAGGCCAGAGTGGCGCCGCAGTTAGGGGGCTGACATCGCAGCGCTTCAAGCACAAAAAAGAAATTGGGTGCTCGCAGGGACATCGGCCCCCTTATCCCACCAATACCGTCCTGCGCACTACGCGTCCCCCGCCAACTGCAGGACTCCCGTCAAAAAAATGGAGTACGGAAGCATGTCACCCTCCGCGGCGTCGCTGCCGCCGAGGGCCGCGATGCTGCGGCAAAGGTGACGCGTCGCACGCACGCGACGAACACCCTCCTCCTCTAAAATAGAGTTTGCCAGCTCGGCACAGGCCTCACACGCGACGCTCGCACCGCCGCCGCTCTCCTGCACAAGCAAGAGGAGCAGCCTCCGTGCGAAGGGTCGCAGCGCACGACAGAGCTCCACAACCAGCAACAGCGGCGCCAACTCAAATTGCGGTGTCTCGTCTTGGGGCACGAATGCCCCACGCACTTCTGCTCTCGGAGGAGGAGAAGGCGGGGATGGGGGAGGAGGCGATGCCTTGCCCCGCACCTCGCCGCTCCCACCACCGTGAATATGATGATCTTTGTTTACGGCAAGACGAGCAAGCAGGCTTTTTAGCGCGGATTCGCGCCGAAGAACCTCAAAGTCTTCCTCATCGCATGCTTTCTCAAAGGAACTGTTGTCGATGGGGTGAATAGACGGGGGCCACGACCTTGGGCTCGCCACACTGTCACTACGAGCTGACGGCGGTGGCCGCGTTGCATCCCGTCGTTGCGGCGACTGTGAGTGCAACCGCGTTGCCTCCTCTTCCTCTTCTGCCGCTGCAGTTGGTGTTGGGAGGGACGGTGCGTTGTCGACGTTGTGTTCCCTGCCACACGCTGCGGTGGTGGGCAAAGGAGGGCCTTCAAATCCTCTCGCGGGCGGCGGCAGCGCCTCTTCCGTCCCCTCGGACCCCACCGTCAGGTCCAGCGTGACGGACTCCTCCACGAGAACATGCCAGTCGACGAGCTCCAGTGCGCTGGTGTCAGGGGAAACGGCAATGTCAACCACCGTCAGCGCGTCAGCTGCTGGCTCCTGCGGCCATTCAACGTCAGGTGCGGCAGGGGGCCGTCGACGGGGCTCACACGCCTCCGCTGCGGGACGGTGGCCGGGAGCCGCAACATCCGTGGGGCCGGCACCCGAAGAGTGAGGCACCGGACACGCAGCAGGACTGCACAGCTTCCCCCGCTCCACCCTTTCGGTCGCCTCTGCCTCCTGCAATGGATTTGAGCATGCCGCAAGAAAACGCGGCGAAGGTGAGCGCACGGCGGGCTGCTTCTTCGGCGGCACGGGAACCATCGTGTTTTTCTCAGTAGCGCCGGGAGAGACTTGCGGCCCCTCGCCAAGGCGGGACTCCGGGGCGCCCAAGCCGCATCCTGCATCCCTCTCTTCAGCTTCTTGCCCCTCTCCGCACTCCATCAGCTCCGCGCGGGCGCAGTGGACGATGACGTCATTATCACCGTCATCGTCTGGCAGTGGTGACTGCAGCCGTCGAGCTAGCCGCTGTTGCATTCCACGCAAGGAGCTGGGGGCAGGCGCGCCATCGTCGGGCCTCTCTGGTAATGGCGACCGCGCACGTGGTTGCTGCTGCTCCATCGCGAGTGGTGGCCCTGCAGCGCCAGAAAACGCCGTGTAGAGTCCGAGCGGCGTCGTAAAGGTCTCGGGACTCCCAGGCGCCCGCTGCGGCGAGGTGATCGACGCACACGCGTAACGGCACTCCACAGCCTTTCTGTTCTCCTTCCATTCCTGTTTGTACGCCGCCGAGAGACTGCGCCCCGCGCTGCAAGTGTTCCCGTCGTTGGCGGCACCGAGTGCGTTGCAACGGTCACCGCCCAACTCTTCGCCTGCCGCTGATGCTGTCAACGTCGCTCGCGGCTCGCAGGCGGGGCCGGCGATGCCGTTGGGGCTCATCCCCCCCATGAGAGTGGACACACCACCGGCGCGGACGCCGTCAAGAGTCCCGTTGACGCAAGGCTCAGGCGAGGGAATGTGCAGCTCACTCTGCGGCGAGTCCGTTGAGGCGCAACGCCGTCCGCCCGGCCTTACGGGCGTCCAACAGATGCAGCTGCGCATCCGGCCACTGACACGTCTCAGAGCAGGAGTAGAGGAAGAGAAGGTGCAAGGACGCACACGTACACCCAACAAGAGAGAAAAAAGAGAAGGACGGATAGCCGTATTCGCATCGGGGCAACGCAGACACACACACACACACACACAGACGCATGCGGGGAAGGGCACGTGTGAGAGAGGGTCAAAGTAAAAAAGGAAGAGGAGGGGAGGGCGGGGCCTCCTAATATAATAAGTGTGCGATAACTGAGTGGGATGTGTGGGGCGGGAGGTGGGGCGGTCGACACCACGGCCACGGAGGAAGGCGCGTATAGCGAGGCAAACGACAACAACAGCAAGAAAGGGAGGGATGGAAAAGAGAAGGCGGTTTCTCCCCCACGTCGCAGAAAAAGAAAAAAAAACAACACTCTCGCCCCTTCACCTGCACGCAGCGCATTTACTCACACCTCCCCCAGTGAGACACGAAGCTGTTGTGCACGCCGGCCAGCTGCGCCGTCGCCGAGTGCGTGCGCCCGCTCAAATAACATCCGCGCCTCTTCCCGTCGACCGAGAAGCGTCTCAAGCAGCACACCGTAGTTGTACAGCGTCATCGCATCAGAGGGATCACGCTGCAGCGACACGTCGTACCACGCGGCGGCAGCCTCGTAGTCTCGGTCCAACGCCTCGGCAATGTAGGCCTGCGCGCGAGCCCCCACGGCGCTATCCACCTGGCGCTCATGCACGTCATTCCACACACGTCGGGCCCCTTCAGGGTCGCCTTGGCGATACAAGGCCCACCCCTTTGTCACGTCCTCCTTCGCGCGCCGAATGAGGTCACCCGGGGACGCACTCATCGCGCGAACAACGCCGCTTCTTTCACTACTGCTTTTTTTATTGGCATTGGCGTTTGAAGTCGTGGACTGAGGTCGTAATTCCTTCCGCGTCCCCGCTTCTTCCTCTCCGCTCCCCGCGCCCGAGGCAATGGCAAGGTACTTGGCGTAAAGGCTATTCGTCGTGGCCTTCACTGGGGACGGTTGCGGCTCTGTAAGGCGGCTCGGCAGGACTGCACTGCCGCTACCGGCATAACTGCGGTTGTGGTGGCCGTTCGCGCCGAGATGCGTGGACTTTTTCAGTCCAGCGTCGTTCTCTTCTGCCTCCCGTGCCACCAGCGCGTAGGGGGCGTGCACCTTCGCCCTGCCGTCCGCGTCAATAAGTTTGCCGCAGCTCCTTCGCAACTCGCTTCTCAGGTAGTGCAGCTCCTCCTCCGCTGGCACGCGCTGCAGCGCCGCCACCAACTGTAGCGGGCGGTCGTGTTGCAGAGCCTCCGTGAGGGTTTCGTCGAGTGCGCCGGCCGCCGCCTTCGCCCTCAAGACGCATTCTTGGCGCAGTTGAAGGTCACTGCGCTGCTCCGCGTCCGCCTGCTCCAGCGCGCGCAAAATAGCCGCAACACGCTCCTCCGCCTCGCGCCGAATCCGTTCTACTTCTCGTTCCGCCTCCAGACGCCTTGGCGCCGTCCGCAGGTCGTTTAGCTCGCGTCCAAGGTCCGTCTCGCGGGTTTCAAACTCCGCCAGAAGCTGATGCACATCACGCCTATAGTCCAAGAGTCGTGCGCGCGCCTGCACAGCCGCGTCCTCAATTGCGAGCACCTCCTTATGTCGGTAGGCGCCCAACACGACGCAGCGACTGCACACGAACGTGTTTTCTTCCACCACGTAGTACTCCACAGCCCGCGACGGATGCGCCGAACACGGCGTGAGTGTGACATCCACGTGACACTGCACCATGTAGCGAGGCAGCACCTGCTTCGGGTCGTACACCGCCACCGCCTGACCGCCACCGGCACAGTGGAAAACGCAGCAGTCCCACTCCCTTAGGAACTCCGCCGTCGCCGCCCGCGCCATTTTTGCCTCCGGTGGGCAGACGAAAGGCCTGCCAATAACCACGTCACAGACGAGGACAGTTGTGGCCTGGCGACTGTTCCAGTCTTGAAATGGGCGACGACAAAACACGGCGCATGGGTTCTCTCTGGACGTGGGATCACCAACGACACCGCCGCCAACGCCCCGTACAACCATGTCACGCAGTCGATGGTATTCACCAACAATGGCGAGCCGCTCAGTCGCATGCTGGTGTGCCGTAAGGAGTCTATTGGCGAAGCAGCTGGCATGGTTACTGTTTGACACCGTTGTCATCGTCACCACCTCCAGATTTAGTTCCTGCAGCCCCACCAGGTTGAGTAACTCGTTTCTGGCTGCGCCGTAGTACGGGTCGCCGGGAGTCAAATTCTCCTCTCTTACGGCGGCACGCAGGCGTTGCTGCCAGCGGTGGCTCAGCGCCTCACGCTCTGGCTTGGTGTAGCCCATGTCTTCCACCGTGGCGTTGAACGCCGCATTGCTCATGTAGTACACGTCTGACGGTTGCTGCCCATGACTCCGCAGCGCCGCACAGAACGCATCCCACGACGCTTCCCCGCCGCTGCCATAATTGAGGCTTGTCCTGCTCTCCTCGTTGCTGCCAGCGTAGTTCCGCCCTGCATCGGGGGCGGTGTCTGCCGCGACGGTCGGACCAGCGTGAGACACGCTCACAATAACGGGGGACGTCTGCCGCTGTGGCAGCGGTGCTTCCTCCACCTGCCGCTGTGCAGCCCCACTCGACAAAATTCCTCGATGCGGCGACCCTTTGGTTTCGGCCGCTGGGGCCGACGCCGCGGGCGCGAGGCGGCGCTGATGCGGTTGGCCGGGGTCCCTTGTCGACTCGTACTGCGTCGGAGGAAACAAATAACCCCGCGGATCCGGTTCTGGGCCGTAACTGAGCGTCAGCGACTCAAACAGTTTGTGCGGCGTCTCCCCAAACGCACGCACGGCGCGTGCCACCTCCGGGGTGGCGGCGTTCACGTTGTGTGCCTTCAAGAAGGCCGCCAGGCGTGTCTGCAGGTCAATGGTGTCTGGCTCCGGCCCGTTGTCAAGCACGAGGCTGTGCAGCAGCTCCTCCTCGTGATTCCCCCACTCCCGCAGGAGCGACGGGACCTGAGCCGCGTGCTCCCGCCCGTAGACGCGGAAAAAGTCTTGGACGCGCCGCTCGTAGTCCACAAGGCCGTACTTTTTGTACAACTTCGTGAAGGTGTCCACCTCCGGGATGCTGCGCACGACGCCGTCCACCAGCTGCAGCCCGCCCGGGTTGTGCTGCGTGAGGAACTCTGTGAGGCGTCGTTGGTAGCCGGCGATGTCTGACGGTGCCACTGCGAGCGAGACGCCCACCTGCCCCATCGCAGTCCCCACGACGTGCGTCACGAGCTTCCGCCGCTGCACCACGTCGGCGACGTCAACCACGAGGTTCGCGGCGCTTGCGCCGACGACGCGCACGGAGGTCGGCTGCCGCTCCTGCACGAGCAGCACCAGCCCGAGCGTTGTGGCGGGGGTCGACCACTCGGCGGCGCAGCGCTCGCCGCGGGCGTCGAGTTTGACCTCCAAGACGTCACGGGCGGAGGTCTGCGCGATGTCCCGCGCCGTGAACTCCGCAAGCAACTCGGGGCAGTCGGTGAGGAGAACGCCACCGCCGGACACCGCCCGCGCGACGACCGAGAAGACACGCGCGTCGTCGACTTCGGCCCCGGCGCAGACATCCCGCGGAATATTCACGACGTTGTGCAGCCGGACAAGGACCTTCCAAACGCTGCTCATAACTAACGGACGCACCCCCCTCTCCTGAGCGAGAAGAGAGTGAAGGTAAAGTCCAATACGAAACGCGAGACATGCTGAGGGCAAAGGAGGTCAGCAAGAAACAAGCAAGACATGTCCAATTCAAGCTACCATATATATATATATAGATGGTAGCGAAGGACAAGAACAACATCGGCTACACCGCAGCATGAGCGAGCAGCAACTTGAGGAGTGTGGGCGGAAAGGAAAAGTATTCAATAACAAGAACTAATTTTACAGACCACCTCATGTCTATGGCGCCTGCTTATTTTTGGATTCCTCTGCCCATTTATTCCTACCAGCCGGCTGTCCTGTGCTACCTGTCTTGGCCCCACTTTTGGCCCCCTCATGTGCGTCTCGTTCCTTCGCGCGGAATATCTCGTCCACCTTGCGTTGCTCCATTTCCTGCTCCGTCGGAACCCAAAAGAAGGGCTCTTTTTCTGCCTTCAGCTTGCGGAAGTTGGGCTCCCATTCAAAGTTGTTGAGCTTCACGTGGTAGTCGATGCGCTCACGCTCCCAGTTGTCCCACTTGAGAAAGACCTTCTCCTGGTCGTCGTGGTCCATCGCCCCGGTGGCGGTGAGGTTGTGCATGTGCGTCATGACATCCATGTCGTTCAGCACCTTCCCCGGCCCCTCCAGGTCCAGCTGGGAGCAAAGGAAGGAGAGCTCCTCGCAGATGTTCTCCGTGTCCCCCCAGACGTAGTGCCCCCCGCTGCTTCGCACACGCAAGACGAGCGGACGGGCAACAGGGTCCACCCCCTTGCGCCGCCGCTGGTGCCGCAGTTTGGAGACGTACTTCAGTGTGTTCCACGGCGGCACCCGGTCGTCGTCGAGGCAGGTGGAGATCATCATCCCCGGGTACGTGACACGGTCGTTGACGTTGAGGTACGGATCGTACTGCGTCAGCCGGGCGTAGTCCTCCGCACTGTGCAGCGGGTCTCCCCAGTCATCGCGCTCCGCCAGCGAGAGTGGGAGATCGGGGTCGGCCATTGTGTTGATAACGTCCAAAAACGGCGAACGAAGCAGAGCGTTGCCAAACAGGCCGCAACCGCGCATATTCATCGCGGCCGCAATAGGCACACAACCCGCGCTATTCCCCGCCGCCACCATCAGCTCGGGACTGGTGTAGCCCATCTTAACCATGTGCTCACAGCACGCAATAAAGTCGTGAACCGCGTTGATCTTATTCCTGCCTTTCCCCTGCTCCGCCCAGTTGGGCAACTCACCACCGCCCCGCACATGGGCAAAGGCAACCGTCCAGCGACGTCGCAGCATCCACATGTACGGTGCGAGCTGGAAGTGCATCGACGGCACCTCACCGTAGGAGCCGTACACGTAGATGAGACAGTGCTTTGGTGTGTTGGGCTGGGCCTCAAAGTCGGTCGCCTCCTGCACAAAGGCGTCACGCCGGTGACAAATAGTTATCGGAATCTGTGTGCCATCCCGCGAGAGGCAGAGGTCGCGGTAGATGCTGTACGGCCACATGTAGTCCCAGGGGGTGAATTGCTCCGACTGGCGTTGGGTAAAGAGGGCCTCAGGGCCGCAGAGCCGACTCTCCGCTGCCGTCATCTTGCTGTCAAAGCTAAACACACAGTCCCTGCTTGGCTGACAAATACTGCTGTAGACAAAACTCATCGAGTCCTGGTTAAAGTTTTTGTTAAGCCCCGGCGTCACGGAGGCGAGGGGCGGAAAATGCAGCAGCAAGTCTTCATCGCGTGCCCGTCGTGCGGCGTCGTCGAGGCCCCTGTCGCACTTGATGATGCGGATGTGGTTGATGCGCTCAAAGGCAAAGTGAACCTCGTACAGAACAATTCGTCCCTGAAACAGGTCCATGTCGACAATCTGCACATCGTCGCGGTAGGGAACAAGCTCCTTCCACTCGGCGTGCATGCCATGCTTAAGGACAACCTCCTCGCGCGCGTAAACGACGCGGTGGTTCGAGCCGTGGTCGGCCACCACCATGACAAAGTGGCCGTCGTAGTGCTCCAGCCAGTTCCAGTTCTCCCGCCCAGCAATTTCCACAGGTCGACCGTCGCGGAAGAAACCCCGCAGCGCACGTGGAATCTTTGGGAAGGAGGCGGGGAGCACAAGTGCGCTGCTCTTCACCTTGGAGTCGGAGGTGATAATGACGTAGGCGTTGTCCTTCGTCTTGTGAACATCCACAAAGAACTGCTCGTCATCCTCGCGGTAGAGCTCCACCGGCGGGGGAAGAATGCCCGGGCGTATCTCCTGCATGATCACCGTGCACGGCCGGTTGAGGTCGTTCGACTCGGTGAAATAAAATTGATTTCCCGAGCCAAACTCTATGCTCACAATGTTTCGGCCACGAATCACGTGAAAGAGGCTCGCGTTGTCGACGCTGCGCACGTGGCAAATGTAGCGATCGCCCCCGCCCACGGAAAGTGTGTACGCCAAGTACTTCCCGTCCTCGGAGACGCGGCAGATGCCGACGTGGCACTGCTCGTAGCCAAAGTGCTGCTGCAGCGAGGTCGGGTTGATGAGCTCCTCCGCGAGGAGGTCAACCTCGCCGAAGCGTTTTCGATAAAATCCAACGGCGCCGGGATCGCCCCCGGGCACCACGCGGGTGAAGTACACGTAGTCGCCAATGCGTTCCTCGCCCTTGTCAAAGCCGCCCTCTCGGCTGGTGATGACGACTTTGGCGTCAAGTTCCGCCCACAGCCGGGCCTTGGTGTGCTTGAAGTCAAACTTCGTGTCAATGAGGGCGTAGTGCTGCTGCTCGTTTCGCACGTACCTCTGCGTGCGCCGGTCAAAGAGATCCTCCATGTACCTGAACGGGTCGCTCTGGGTCCGCTCCCCGTGCAGCAGCAGCGAGTCTGGCACCTCCTCTGGCAACGGGCCGTCTAGGCACGGCAGCGGAAACTTGTTGCGTGCCTGCGGGGCGATACGGTTCACGATGCGGCGGCCAAGCGTGTAGCCGAGGTTGGATGTCGGCACCCACGGGTACAATGCGGCCATCCTTTTTTTTTACTGCGTGCTTCCTGCTTCCGTGCTGTGGCGTTCGCCGCGGTGCGTGAGGGTGTACGCGTGGGTGACGGTGTGTGTGCCCCACCTTCTCTGCGGCGCTTCTTTGTTGCGCGGGCGCACCTACACTTCCCCCGCACACAAGGCGCGAGAGACGGAGCCATGCGTCGCGGGAAAAACAAACGTGTGAGCAGGCAAGTACCTCATCGACAGGCATACAACAAACCACGCAGACAGACACGCACGCACCGAAAAAAAAACTCACCCACACAGAGGCACAGGCACAGACAGAAAACTCAGAATGAAAAGCAGCGACGCGTCTTTCATGCGAGGGTATGCCTGCCGGACACGGCGTCAGGTGGGGCGGCGAAGTCCTCTACACGCACGACTCCGGCAGTCAATGGACCTCCGTGCTGCATCCATTTGGCGACCCTCAGAGGTGAAAAGAAACAAACAGACGAAAAAGCCAACGCGCCCCCTATCGCAGAAACCCACAAAATGTCACACCGCGCTCCAACAAAAAGCCGAGGCCTGTACAGGCAGAGAGAGAGAGAGAGAGAGAGAGAGAGAGAGAGAGAGAGAGAGAGAGAGAGAGAGAGAGAGAGAGAGAGAGAGAGAGAGAGAGAGAGAGAGAGAGAGAGAGAGAGAGAGAGAGAGACGACGACGACGACGACGACGACGT